TAGGAGGTTGAGGGAGCGGGAGATAAAGAGGTCATGGATGGCAGTTAGTTTGTTGCAGACCGAACGGGCGTTCAGAAGTGCAACCGAGAGAGGGGGGATGGATGCGGGGAGGAGGTGCACAGGTATGAGGTTGAGAGGGTTGCGGCGGCTGGCGGGAGCAGGGGGGTCCCTGGAGGGGAAGTTCCTGGAGGGGGGGTGAGGTGGTGAGGGGCCAGGGTTCGGGGAGATGTCCCCAGCGGGAAGGAGAAGGGTGAGGAGGGTGGCATGGGAATGGGAGGTGCAGGAGCGTGTGGGTCTGGTAGTGGTGGCACGTGGGTCGACCGGGGAGTGGAGTACCAGGAGGAGGTGGTGAGTGCAGTAGTGGGGAGAGGGCAGAAGTGAAGGGGCAATGTAGAGCTGTTTTGGGGGGGGGGGGGGGGTGGGTAGAGGGAGGCGATTTTTGGGATGGAGGAGAGGAAAACGAGGAGGAGAAGTGCAGGTGGCATGCTGGGGTGAGTGCAGTGCTGTTCGGGTCAGGGGAGGTAAAGGGATACGGGTCAGGGCGAGGTGATGTGGAGAGTCTGTATCACCATGGAGGAGTCCACTAGAGTCCTTCTGTAGGGGGAGAGTGGGAGTAAAGGGCAGCAGCTGGCTGGCTGCAATCTGTGGGTGCAGTATGCAGGCGTCCGAGGGGTCTTCAGTGGGTCCGGTGGATCGGCGAGTGGAGGGGTCGTAGGGTGCGATGTCTAGGGGGTGTTGGTAGGCACGGCGTCTGGTGATGCTGGCGGCACGGTGACTGGAGATTTGCTGGGTGGTCCGGGTCCGGGAGATTCGCTGGGCGACGTCTCGATTCACTGGGTGGTCCGGGTGTTGGGTGTCCAGAGGTGGTAGCTGGGTGCCCGGTAGCTGGGTGCTGGGTGTCCAGGGGTGGTAGCTGGGTGCCCGGTAGCTGGGTGTCCAGGGGTGGTAGCTGGGTGCCCGGTAGCTAGGTTCTGGGTGTCCAGGGGTGGTAGCTGGGTGCCCGGTAGCTGGGTGCAGGGTGTCCAGGGGTGGGCCCAGAACCGATGTATGGGCTGGGCAGCGGCGCAGCGATCAGTGGGCCTGAGCTGGTTCCTGGTGGTCAGGGATGGACACAGGTCCTTGCAAGGCTGATCTTTGGTGGGGTGGTTGTTGTCACCTTGCGTCAGGCTGCTGTGGCCCTGGAGACGGTGGAGAGGGTCAGGGGCCGCCTGAGGAGGACCATACTAATAATGGGGACGATCAGCGACTTATGGCGGTGATCAGCAATTTATGACAGTGATTAGCGACTTATGGCGGGACTGCGGTGGACATTTTGAAACTGGGGGGGAACTGACTTGGGGTCACTGACATCCCCAGTGACACCAATACAGTAATCAGTGAAAAAAAAAAAAAAAACCACTGACACTGTACTAATGGCACTGGGGAGGAAGGGCTTAACATTTTTTAAGGTAATGAAAGGGTTAACTGTGTGAGGGGAGTGTTTTACTAGTGGGTGGGGGGGTGTACTTCATGGGACGCTGATCCGGAGAGATCAGCTCTTCTCTCAGGATCAGCGTGTGCTTGGAACTGACAGATAGCAGAGCTGCAATGTAAACACTGCAGCCGTGCTCTCTGTCAGTGATTCCTGGTAATCGCAGGGACTCGACGGGTAATGACCTGCCAGGACTCGGTGATGGACAGTTGCTGCTGCAGTCAGCGGGACGGGTAGTGCGGGCACATGCCTCGCGCGCCCCCTACCTGTTTTGCAGAGCGACGTTAAAAGACGGCGCTGTGCGCACAGGTGCCGCCCTGCCTCAGTAAAAACACTGCGGCTGGTCTGCAACTGGTTAACAAGCATACTGCTACAGTGGGGCAAAAAAGTATTTAGTCAGCCACCAATTGTGCAAGTTCTCCCACTGAAAAAGATGAGAGAGGCCTGTAATTGGCATCATAGGTAGACCTCAACTATGAGAGACAAAATGAGAAAAAAAATCCAGACAATCACATTTGCTAATTTGGAAAGAATTTATTTGCAAATTATGGTGGAAAATAAGTATTTGGTCACCTACAAACAAGGAAGATTTCTGTCTCTCACAGACCTGTACCTTCTTCTTTAAGAGGCTCCTCTGTCCTGCACTCATTACCTGTATCAATGGCACCTGTTTGAGTTTGTGGACAGGTGTCTTTTATACTGATAACAAATTCAAACAGTCACACTCCAAACTCCACTATGGTGAAGACCAAAGAGCTGTCGAAACAAAATTGTAGACCTGCACCAGGCTGGGAAGACTGAATCTGCAATAGGCAAGCAGCTTGGTGTGAACAAATCAACTGTGGGAGCAATAATTAGAAAATGGAAGACATACAAGACCACTGATAATCTCCCTCAATCTGGGGCTCCACGCAAGATCTCACCTCGTGGGGTCAAAATGATCACAAGAACGGTGAGCAAAAATCCCAGGACCACACGGGGGGACCTAGTGAATGACCTGCAGAGAGCTGGGACCAACGTAACAAAGGCTATCATCATTAACACACTACGCCGCCAGGGACTCAGATCCTGCAGTGCCAGACGTGTCCCCCTGCTTAAGCCAGTACATGTCAGGCCCGTCTGAAGTTTGCTAGAGAGCATTTGGATGATCCAGAAGAAAATTGGGAGAATGTCATATGGTCAGATGAAACCAAAATAGAACTGTTTGGTAGAAACACAACTCGTCGTGTTTGGAGGAGAGAGAATGCTGAGTTGCATCCAAAGAACACCATACCTACTGTGAAGCATGGGGGTGGCAACATCATGCTTTGGGGCTGTTGAATGGGGCCATGTATCGTGAGATTTTGAGTGCAAACCTCCTTCCATCAGCAAGGGCATTGAAGATGAAACGTGGCTGGGGGTCTTCCAACATGACAATGATCCCAAACATACCGCCCGGGCAATGAAGGAGTGGCTTCGTAAAAAGCATTTCAAGGTCCTGGAGTGGCTTAGCCAGTCTCCAGATCTCAACCCCATAGAAAACCTTAGGAGGGAGTTGAAAGTCCGTGTTGCCCAGAGACAGCCCCAAAACATCTCTAATCTAGAGGAGATCTGCATGGAGGAATGGGCCAACATACCAGCAACAGTGTGTGCCAACCTTGTGAAGACTTACAGGAAATGTTTGACCTCTGTCAATACCAACAAAGAATATATAACAAAGTATTGAGATGACCAAATACTTATTTTCCACCATAATTTGCAAATAAATTCTTTCCAAATCAGCCAATGTGATTGCCTGGATTTTTTTTTTCATTTTATCTCTCATAGTTGAGGTCTACATATGATGCCAATTACAGGCCTCTCTCATCTTTTTAAGTGGGAGAACTTGCACAATTGGTGGCTGACTAAATACTTTTTTTGCCCCACTGTATTTACTGCAACCTGTGACAATATATTGGATTTATTTACTAACCAGTCTGCTTTTTGATACTGAAATTTAGTTGTGTACAGGGTATCTATATTTGTGCTTCCAGTAGCAGTATAGTATCTATTTGCTTTAAACGCTATTCAATTCAAAACAAAAAATGTAATCCATTGCAGTTTACCAAACATTTGATGTGGTGGCTGCATCAGTTTTCTTTTCTTAGGCTTTCTTCCCTCTTTTTTCACCTTGTGATCTGGCCAGTAACACACCCCTTGTTTTAGCGTGCCCCCCCAACTTTGGATGAATGAGTACAGGAGGCACAGCAGATAGCAACATTGTCAGTCTGTGGAAGAGGGTAGTGTTAGATACACTAGCAGATTTAGCTACACTAACAAATTGAAGCCAAACTCCAGCTCACACTTTATAATCATTTACAGTTTTTTTTTTTTTCATTTTGGGATAAAGGTTTTACAAGATTAAAAGCTGATCATTTAAATCACCCCTGGTAGTGTTAAATGGTTTGCTTCATCCTTGTAAACTGAGACAGTACATTTTGCTAGAGAGCTCAAGCTTTGAAAAACAGCAGACTTGCTGGCTGGATCACCACATGAAAATCGAAGAAAGCCGAAAAAAAAGAAAATTATTGTAGCCATTGCATCAAATTGGTATACTGCAGTACAGTACATGTATACTTTTGAGTTTAGTACTTCTTTACCTGGTGTGTCTGTGGGGCTTAGGTTGTTCTCAGAGACAAACGAACAGAGACCTCAATCTACCAGGTGGCTTCTGCGGGGATAGCGATACATATTTTAAAGCAGTATTAAACCCAAAAATTTAATTTTAACGGCAAGCAAGTATAAATGAGAATATCATTAAGCTCTTTAAGATAAGTATTAGCGGTAAGTCAAAATGTGTACATGCTGAAAATATGCAATAGATTTGCTCAATTCATTAAGTAATGTCAATACATTAGCTAATGAAAGGTCTGCTTTCATGTTGTGCAATTTGCTAAAACTATAACAGCAGCCTTGTGCTATCACTTATCAGTTATCTCTGCTGAACAAAGGTCAAGCCATTCTGACTGTAATATAGCCAGGCACACTTGCACAGGCAAATGTTTTCTGTATTGGAACGTGGCTTACGCTCTCGTGCTGTACAAAAATAATTTCTTATATACTTTATGTACTCGATGAAAGATTGGCCTGCAACACATTGATATCAAGAGGGGGCTCAATATACAGCAGTTGTTGATATATTTACTGCATTCTTGGAAAAACAGAGCCTGCAGCATCTGACAGATTTTGTATGCCTATATTTATATTCCATCAAAACTAAACTCATAATTGTGAGAGAACTACATTTTATGTTGCTGTACTCCACTTTTATATCATTACCTCTTTCACATAAATTTCTCCTAGGTGAGCATAATAATGTGTAACTTGTGTTACAAGGTATTAATAATGATTTAGCTTGCATTTTTGTTATTGCCAGATTATTGCTTGAGAACTAGTTGCATACTCTGTAGTGCAATGTCAATGTTAATTTCTTAAATTATTTGTAATTCTTCATGAAATAGCAGAATTTCCAACTAATAATAAATTATCTTATGTATTTTTCAGGGCCAAGATGAATGTGGGTGTTGCACACAGCGAGGTGAACCCAAATACTAGGGTTATGAATAGTCGTGGAATGTGGTTAACGTATGCCCTGGGAGTTGGAATGCTACACATTGTGCTGTTAAGCATTCCTTTCTTCAGTGTCCCTGTCGCATGGACTTTGACCAATGTCATTCACAACCTGGTGAGTATCTTATGTCAAGATTTTCAATTGAATAAAAAAAGGTGAAGCCCTGATTTGACCCACAGATTCTGCAGCGCGCTTTTTATGTTGTACCGGTATGTTAATCGTGGTACCAGTTCATGCATGAAAAACATGCATCATACATTTTAAAGCCTTAGTTTTGGATAGGGAATAGTTAGAACCCCTGTTAGGGTTTTTTTTTTTTCTTTTTTATGGTGGTGGTTGATGTCTGTGTTCCATTATGGAGATTACCTTCACTTCATGTCTCAGAGGCACAACAGTAAGTAATTGGTAGTAGTTCCTACGACAACTGTAGAATTGTGAATTTTAAATTACTTTCTGTTGCAGTAATGGTTGGCCTCCTTAACCAGTAAGGGGTATGACGGGGGCAGAGCAAAATGTTGTCGTTTTAGGTTTTGCGATTCCTTGGACGCTTTCAGAAGATAGCTGCATGTAAATACTGTATAATAATAATAATAATGTAACTTTTTGTTGCTACAAGTTTGCTATAACATTTACTTTAGTAAAACTAAATGTAAAACTTTTTGTTTTGTGTGTGCTTTTGTATTGTTTTTTGGATGGAGTAATGGCGGTGGTGGTGGGGGGTTATAACACTTGTAAGGTTTATTTTTACCATCTGTGACCCTTTTGGAGAGATTCCCCCTCACTTCCTGTTCATAGCCAAAACAGGATGTGAGCAGAAATTCCTGGTTGAAAAACATACATCAGGATCACCAGAACTAGTATCCCTATTGGAAGTTATTCTCAAGAATCCTGTTCTGGGGACAACTCAAAATTTTGGGATTTTCTTTTACATTCCTGTTTGGTGATAATTGTAAGCAGGACAAATTGGTGTTCTAATCCATCTCTATTCTATCTAAAACCAAAAAAAAAAAACATTTTGCCTTTAGTTATACTTTAAAAAAACAACTGTATAGTTAGAGTTCAACTCTGGATTTTCTAATTAATATGCAGGTATCAAATGGAGAGGTGCAAGTGTCAAGCTGGCCCTATCTGTTCCACTCCCCTGTTGGTCTGTAAGGTTGAGCTTCGTATTTAACAACCAGTTATTGAAAATTGATGGGTGGGCTCAGATCTGTAATGATTTTTTAAACATAATAAAATGTCTTTGTGGCTTAACTTTTTTTACAATTAATTTTATCTTAGCACTTCTAGCAAAGATGCTGTTTTCACTGTGAACATAGAAATATCCACTAGGACACGGGTGTCCAGCTGGCAACCCTCCAGCTGTTGCCAAACTACAAGTCCCATGAGGCATTGCACGACTGAAAGTTACAAGCATGATTCCGAAAGGCAGAGGCATGATGGGACTTATAGTTTCACAACAGCTGAAGGGCCGCCAGTTTGACACCCCTGCACTAGAAGAATATTTTGTTCTGTATGTAAAAAAACGTAAATTAAGTAGGATTGTAACTTTACAGTAAACTCACTCGAAACATGTACACTCTGAAAATGTAATATTATCAATGGAACTTGGCAGCCACAGCTACAGCCATGGAAACCAGCCTGGAATTTTGAAGTGGCACTGGAAAACAAATGCAGTGCTGTAATAAAACAAGAGCTAGGAGTAAAGCCCTTAATTTGTTTAAATTCATTGACTATATATATATATATATATATATATATATATATATATATAATCAGGGCTCAAAATTTCAAGTCCTGAGCTACTAGCCAGGCTTACAGAGTTACTTGTCACCAGTTGCCCCACCCAACTCCTGCCCCGCCCCTAGCTGAACCCCTAAACAGGGCCTCGGAAATGATCTTATGAAGTGAAACATTTAACACCCTTCAGGTACCCCCTTTAGATCAGGTGTCCTTTTCAGGTATCCCCCTTTAGATCAGGTGTCCCCTTCAGGTATCCCCCTTTAGATCAGGTGTCCCCATCAAATTCCCCCTTTGCATTGGGTATCCCGATCAGAGTGGTCCCCCTTTGCATTGGGTGTCCCCCTTTGCATCGGGTGTCTTTCTCACAGTGCCCTTATACATCGGGTGCCCCCTTCACAGTGCCCCCTTTGCATCATGTGTCCCCGTCACAGTGCCTCCTTTATATCAGTTGTAACCCCCCCCCCCTTCCCCATTGTACTCACAGATCTTCTTGTGAATGCAGCTTCTCCTTCCTTTCCTCCTCCGGTCATGTGACAAGTCACATGACAAGGGGAGAGAGGAAGGACACTGTACCTTCACTCCTTAGTACCAGCTGTCTATCACCCCCTGCAGGCTGGAGGGAGGACAAAGCCTAATCCTCTCTCCAGCAAGTGTTGGCAGCTGCTCCTTGTGACAGGAGTGAAATTGCGTATGTGGAAGTGATATGGATGTATAGTGTGGGATCAGCCCTCCTAGGCAGGATGTGTGGATCACATCGCCTGCTCTACCAGAGATAGATGGTGTATGTTGTCCCCTGAAGTGTCCCTGTTTAATCCTGTCCCCCTCCTGCCCTCCTATGTTATGTGTGCCCAGTGTTCTGTTCACTGTCAGGCTTGTGTAGAGCTCCCTAGCTCTGGTTTTGGGGAAACGTTCAGAGTTCCGTTCACCGGTGCCGCCATCTGCCCCCATGCTCTGTGGTAAGCCCACTGCAGCTGCCCTGGTTTTTTATCTCATGTCCCAGTTCCTTATCCCATGCCAGAAAGATAGGATAACTATACCTGTGCTAATCCGGGCCACCCACAGATATTAGAATGCCAAAAAGTGAGTAGTGCAGCCAAAGCAACCAACAGAGCATATGTTGTAAAGGTTATTACGCATCCAGCTAGCAGCTCTTTCCCTGACTTTCTCCCCTCCTGCTCTCACTGCTGCTTCTAGGGAGACACCTAATAAAGCCAGGCTGGGTTGGGGATGGAGCAGAGTCCCTAGGCGGGTGAGAGTGCTCTGATCCCACAAGGAGCCGCCACACAGCTGGTGCACAATCAGGGACCCACAAGAGCACTGAGCCCTGGACTGACAGAGCAGAAAATACAAGCAGAGGAAGGGGACGAGGCGGAGTCGTGGGGGAGAAAGGGCAAAACACTGGCAGAGAGCCAGGGGAGGAATGTCAGGAGAACAAGGCAAGTATTTTTCTCAGGGAAAGGTGCCTAAGCCGCCTTATGCTGGCCCACACGTTATTTCCACCCACCAAATGTTAGCAGACGAGTGGAACTTTTGAGCCCTGCTATACAGTTATCATGCCACTGTATTTTGTTTTGGGGTTTTTTTAAACCTGCTAAGTATTTTATTCCTGCAGCCCTGTTGTGTGGTCCCATGATATTTCCCTGTTCTTTGGCATCTGCAGGAAAACATCCTTGGTAGGGGCTTCTATTACTCTGCTGATCTATGCTGTCTACAGTATGAGTCTGTGTTAGCCCTAATTGGTGCTGTGCCAGTCACATAACTAAAAAAAAATAAGTTTCAGGAGAGAAATTCAAATTAAATAAGAAACAAAAACAGTTTTACAGCTCCCCTATAAATCTTTATTGAACATCAATTGTGTATTTTTTTTTGTGCATTAGTAAGGCATAGGTGGAGTCAAAGGTGATTGACACTAGCTTTCATTTTGTTCAGACAGCATGTAAGGCTCTTTTTTTACATTATAGATATTGGCAATTACATTTGATATATTTAATAGTGATTTATATTAAAACTAAACTAAGCAAGTTTCTTAGGGAATACAATTAATCTGGACACTACATCCCGCCCCCATGGTGTGGAAGGAGGGAGGGGAGTGTCATTTTCCACTGTGTATACACCTACATATGTGACTTTGTAGTCAAGTAGGCTACATGGAAAAGAAAAAGGGGAAAATGAAGAGCTTAGAAGGGAACTGAAACTGGAGCATGCTCAGTAGATAACAGATGGTCTACACAATCTCAGGCTGCAATGAGAACACAAGATGAGAGGGACAGCTGAAGGTAGGATCAACTTGGTATATTTCACTCTATACAACAAATGCTTTAGTGGCTTTGTGGGTATGCACACTCTGTTGGATAACTTAATACAAGTTTTTCCTTGTCAGGCATTCTGTTAGTGTCATTGAACCCTATCAACCTACTTCAAATCCTTTACAGCATTGCAGACCATCATGTTAGTATTGGTTCTGCTATATGAGATATGTTGGAAAATGTTACCTGGTCACCATACAATGGAAACTCCTCTATAGATGATGGATAGAAAAAAAAACCATTGTCTGTAGATAAGGTCTATAACAGCCTGTTTTGTAGTGTAGTTGCCTACTAAACGAGCTGCATAGCTTGATTGTGTGATTTGGCTTTAAACTTTAAATGTGGTTTTCTCCAAAACTCCCCTGCTTGTGTAGGCTCGGTTTATTTGAATATATTCTGCTAGCTGGCTGAACTGACCTTGTGCATTTTACAACTGTTCCCAGCTGATAAGATTGCTATGTGAACCAACACATGCCCAAAAACCATTTTATCCTCAACTTGGTTTAGCAATCTGTTGTTTTCCTGGCTCTAAATTGTGAAATAAATTGCACAAAGGGTAATATGTTCATTGAATATAATTAAATACTGCTGCATGATCATTTTGTGCAACTAATATATGAAAATATACAGAACAGTTCAGGAAACTTTGCTCAGTTAGCAAAATATTTTACCATTTGTAATTAAAAAGATCGATATGTATTAAAAAGGACTCTGTTATGAAGCACTTTTAGGACTCTTATAAAAGCTATAAAGAATATGACTAGATTTAATCCCGTGACTTGTCCACATTCCATACCACTGAGCTGTTTCTTTTGTTTCACTGATTTATCCTCATCTGTAATATTCCCTGAGTATATACAAGGGCTCCTGCTCCTCTTAGAAATTGTTGGTGGATTGTGTACTTCGTATCCCTTTTGCAGTCTTTTCTGTAATCTTGATTCCTACGAATACTACCTCAACCTCTCCACTGATTCTTGTTGCTCATCTGGCTGCCACCTGCCTTGACTTTTTGCTTAGAATACATATGCCTGTCTCCAGCTTTAAATCGCTGCCTGTTATAAAACC